CCATTTCAGAGATGTAGAAATGGAAGCCTGAGAAGTTTAGGCAATTTGCCCAAAATTATATATCTCGGGGCAGAGGGAGAAGATTCAGAATCAAAACCAATTTTTTTTTCAGAACCAAATTTTACCTAGCAGCAGACACTCCCCCCATCCACAATCTTTCTTCTACTATGTACTTCAGCACCCTCCCCCCAGGAACCAGGCCAAGACCCACTACCTCTGGAGTACTGCAGCCACCCAAAGTTGTTCTTTTGGGGCTACCACCATTTTTGATGTTTTTGGTGTCCTTCGCTCCAGGTGAGAGAGCACTCGTTCTCTTCTTTTGGAATTCCTTCAGCTGCAGAAAGAGGAAAAACAGTGACACTCATGAGAACTATTACCAAAAATCAAATCAAATCAAATCCACTGCCACTGAAGCTGGTGGATTTGAACCCATGATCTCTCAGTTAGCAATGCCTTATACCACTAGAGCTCCTGTGAGGTCAAGGTCTAAGGGCCATGGCCAAGGGACCCTGATACTCTTCCCATGTCCTCTTCAAACTAAAATTTGTCTCAAGACCAAAGAAATAAGAATGGGATGAAGCTATAGGGAGACCAGGGTCAGAAAATCAAAGGCCGACTTAGCGGCACCGGCAGTTCTGATGGGGCACATTGTGATGTAGCCAACATTCCATTCCTCCTCACCGACACCCTAGTCGCCCATCCGCCGGGGAGGGGGGAGGGGAGTAGGACTAGAAACGAAATCCCAACAAACCGGGAGCCCCGGGTCCCAAGAGACCGTGAGCCCAAAAAGGTCGGGTTCAAAGTAGCAGGAGACGAGGGTTGCATCTACGGAGCAGATGCCCATAGTCACCTATCCAAAATCACCTGCGAGAGACGAGAGAAGAGGGGCTGGGCAGCCGAGAGGGGCGGGCCTGGGTGAGAAGACTGGAAAGGGGCAACCAAAGGGTTGCCTGGGATTACCCCTTAAGTCTCAGGGACAGTAACTAACTCTTGACCATGGTAAGCCCGTCAGCGGGGCTTCAGACTGATTCAGGGAGCCGGGACCCAAAGCGACTTACCTTTTTCCGAGCTCTAACCAATTTTCGATTTCGATTCTCTTCCGACATAGCGGGAAGGGGCGGGGTAATGGGGGCCCACCTGACGAATCCCGGCAGCCACTGCGGAATTGCTTCCGGCAGCTACCAAGTAGTTTAGTGGACTGAGCCAAGAAAGGCGGGGCTGGGGTTTAAATAGGCAAGTTCTGTGGGCGTGACCTAAATACTCCAAGACCATTGGATAATGAAAATTCTTAAGTGGGCGTGGCCAATGATGGTGGAATAGTCATAATGGGCGCTGGGGGGCGGGGCAGGCTGTTTTAAAAAAAAAAAAAAAAGAGCCAGGTGCGCGCGCAACCCCTTTGCAACCGTTTCCGGTCACCGTTGAGGTGCTCCTTCCGAAAAAAATATTAAAAATATTTTTTAAAAAAATAAGTATAGTGTTTTGTCCATCCTCGCCCTGGAACCCTCTATGCTGCAGACCCCGAAACGGGGACCTGGGACTCCAGGGCTTAGGAGGTGGGCAAAAAAACTTTACTAAATTCTCACAATTTTGACCCAGACTTTCTCGTCCCCATAAAAACCCGAGTCCAACCACAACCACCTCCAAAGACCCCATCTAATAGTTTAGACATTCCAACCTATCAAAACCACCCTTTTGTCCAGGGTCCTTACCCTAATCCGGGAGTTTTATCTCCGGTCCCACTGCGGGTCCCGGTCGCTCCATCTGCTCCTCCCACACTTCACTGTATCCTTTATCCCTCAGAATTAACTCTAGACCCAAACAGCTTTCTCTCGATTCCTCTGCAGAACTCAACCTGGACTCTCCAGAAGTTGCCGAAGAGCCTTCCGATCCCCTGTGAGTATGTCTACCCCGCTCGCTCGGCCTCACAACCCCGGCTCGCTCTGTCTCCATCGCTAAATTAGCGGCAGCTCCCAGCCCTACCATCCCCAGCAGCAGACGACCCACCTTAAACCCTCTTCTAGGTCTTCCCCAGCCAACTTTCTTCCGAAAAACTCCAGGTTACGTCTCAGTGCTTGCGTTTCTCGCCCCCGCGCCTTTTCCCTCCTGTTGACGAAGCTTCAGAGAAGCAGCGGTGTCTTGCCCTGTTGCAGTCGAAACCGTCTGCTTGAAATCCCACTCCTGTCGCTCCCCCGCCCCCTGCCGCCTCTGATGCGTTGGGTTCTCCCGCACCCGCCATCTCACCCCCGCCTTCAACTAGAAGGGTTTTCCCTCCAATCGGGAAACCACTGGTATGGACCTGCTATGGACCTTTTATCAACTCCTTTAGTATAATAATCTTTACACTAGCAAACTTGAAAACATTTAAAAAGAAAAAAAAAAGGTCTACTTCTCTCCCGTCAGTTAGATGGGGAAAGACTTGGTGTGCAGAGCCATTCGCTGCTGTAAGATACAGATGTGTGCCGGGCGGACACAGGTGTAAGAACAAGCTGTGGAGGATGAACAGACGCAATTCCAGGATTTGCTGAGCACGGTGTTTTTTCGAGGGGACCACAGGCTTGAGGGTACAGGGAAATCACCCTAGACATAGAGATTTGAAGGGCAAATTGGAGCTAGCTGATAGGGACATGAATAGGGAGTGGGTTTCTTACTGAGTGTGTAACAGTATTGTTTTCCCAAACTAAAAAAAAAAAAAGTCTTTACAGAACATTTTCTTTGTCCCAATCCATTTGCTTTGCTGAGCTTTTTCATTCCTATTTTATAGGTTAGGACTCTAAAGGAGAGCTCCGGTGGCCTAGTTGGTAGGTAGAGGGCTGTGAAAGATGGCTCCTTTCTGGACTTTTTAATCTACCAGCAGCTCCTCAGGAGAAAGAGCAATCTGCTTTCCTTCCATTTACAGCCTCTAAAAACCTGCTGGAGGGTCACCTATGAATCTTTTATGTCTCCATGACAGTGGGATGTTTATTTGTTTTTAATTTTTTTTTTCTTAATTTGAATTTGTGAGTTCCAGAGAGTTTAAGAATCTTACTATTAGAGAGTTGAGGACCTCGGGTTTGAACTGAAGCGGTCTTAACTTCCTCCCAGAGCCTGAGCTGTTGTTATCTGGTCCCTTCTACTTTCTGTCTGTGGGTCTCTTTAACAGTCTGTTATCTTGAACTTCTTCCTAGATTGTTCTTTGTCTGCTCAGTTGGCGGCTCTGCCTCTTGCTGCTTTTTGTACAAATATGAGTATTTCCTCATGGTTCTGTTATCCTCCTCCTGTTATTTTCTTTTTACAGTTCAGAGATCTCAGTCCTACACCTCTTGAATTCACTTCAACGTTGATGACCCTCATGTCTTTCTCCATCTCTGGTCTTTCCTGGGACACATTCAGTTGCCTGAAGGATTATTGTGTCTTCCCACTTACCAAACCTGAAACTACATCCTTCATCTCAACTAAAACCATAAACTAACATACTTTCCAGGCATCCTTTGTCAGGAGCATCCCAGGTTCTCAAAGTAAGCTCTGTCTCTTCTGATAGCACTACGATTGATTCTAGTTGTTCTTTTTCATTCCATAAATCCCTGACTCATCCCATTTCACCCCACTGAAACCACTCTTATTCCCTCAAACACATTGCACTGTTTCTTACATTGGGGCCTTTAGATCTACTGTCACCTCTGTCAGAAATAGTTTCTTCTATCTTTTGTCAGAGCCACATTTGTTGTGATCCACACAGTCAAACACCTTTGCATAGTCAATGAAACACAGATAGACATTCCTCTGGTGCTCCCTGCTTTCAGCCAAGATCCGTCTGATATTAGCTACAATATCCTAGTACCACGACCCCTTCTAAACCCAGCCTAGACTTCTAACAGTTCTCTGTTAATGTGCTGTTCCAGTTTTTTTTTTATAATCTTCCTCAGAATCTTGCTTGCATGTGATATCAATGATATTGTTTGATAATTTCTGTACTCTGTTGGGTCACATTTCTTTGGAATAGGAATAAATCTCTTCCAATCTATTGGCCATGTGGTTGTCTTCCAGATTTCTTGGCACAACTTGGTAAGCACATTTAGGGCAGCATCTGTTAGCTGAAATATATCAGTTGGTATACTATCAATTCCTGGGGCCTTATTTTTTGCCAATTCTTTCAAAGCAACTTGACCTTCTTCCTTCTTCACCATAGCTCTTGCTCATATGTTGTGTCTTTAAATTCTTCTGTGTCTGCCAATTCCTTTTGGTCCAGTGACTCTGTATGCGCTTTTCATCTTCTTTTAATACTTCCTGGATCATGTAATACTCTTCCCAAAGCATCCTTAAGTATTGCACCTTGAGGTTTGAATTTGTTCTTCAGTTTCTTGAGCTTAAAAAATGCTGAGCAAGTTCGGCCCTTTTGATTTTCTGACTCCAGCTCCTTGCATGTTTTATTGTAATACTTTGTCTTCCTGCTCTGCCTGTGTGGATCACAACAAACTGTGGCTTACTCTGAGAATGGAAATCCCAAAACACTTGATCTTGCTAATGCGAAACCTATACTTGGACCAGTAGGCAGTTGTCAGAGCAGAGCAGAGAAACACTGCATGGCTCAAAATTGAGAAGGGTGTATGCTAGGTATGTGTTCTATCTCCATATCTTTTCAATCTGTATGCAGAACAGATTATCTGGGAGGTTGGGCTGTATGAGGAGAAATGTGGCATCAAGATTGGAGGAAGATTCATCAACAATCTGCACTATGCAGATGACACAACCCTGCTTGCTGATACTGAGGAGGACCTGAAATGCTTACTGCAGAAGGCCAAGGACTGCAGCCTTCAATATGGATTGAGGCTCGACATCAAGAAAACAAAGATTCTCACCACTGGGCAACATCATAATAGATGGTGAAGAGATTGAGATTGTTTACCAGTTTAGTTTACTTGGCTCCACAATGAACAGTCTTGGCACCAGCAGCCAGGAAATTAAAAGATGTATTACAATGGGAAAGTCAGCTGTTAGGGACCTATCCAAAGTATTGGAGAGCAATAATGTCACTCTGGAGACTAAGGTGCACCTGAGATAGGCCATGGTCTTTGCAGTCACTTGCCATGTGTAAGAGAGCTGGACAATGATTAGGAATGAAAGAAGGAGAATTGAGCTTTGAGCTGTGGTGTTGGATAACAGTATTGAATATACCATAGACTGCTAAGAAAATAAACAGGTTCATCCTCTTGTTTGGTGCTGTCGAGTCGTAGATGACTCATAGCGACCCTATGAATGAAAGGCCTGACAATTTTTTGTAGGGTTTCTAGATGCAAGCCATTTCAGAAGTGGATGCCACCCACTCCTGCTTCCAGGCTTGTTTTAGTTGGGAAGCTCCAGCAAACACTGTCCACCATGGGTACCCATTACCACGTTTGGCACATCAGTGTCACAGTGTTCAGCATGACAGCAACCATGAGTTACCTCTGTACAGCAACGCACAGACCAGTGCTATACCACCTAGAAGAATGTTTGACAGGAAAACATCATAGAGAGGTTCATCCTAGAGAGGCTTAAATCAGGCTGCTTCTTGGAGGCAAGGATTCTGAAGCTTCATCTGACATATTTTGGATATCCTTGGAGAGGGATTTCATGCTTGGAAGAGTAGAGGGACAGCGCAGGAAAGGAAGACCCTCTATGTGATAGATTGATTCAGTGACTTGGGTAATCAGGGTACGTGTATCAGAGACAGTGAGATTGGCACAGGATAGAACAGGGTTTAGAGCTATTGTAAATAGGGTCTCTGAGTTAACAGGCGACTTGAGGGTACATAACAATGACAACAATCTTTTGTCATGCTGATGGCTGCTCATCTTTTAGGGTTCAGCATCTAAAACAAGCCTGCCTTCCACTCCCAGGTTTTCAGTTGTGCATTCCCTTAGTACCCTGAACTTCAGCTTCAGAGCACTTGATATATGTGTACTAAGTAGATTGTTGTTGTGTGCTGTTGAGTCAGAACCAACCCACAGCTGACCATCCAGCAGGTTTTCAGAATTATTTAATTGCACAAGAGGAGATTGCCTATCCTTACCCCACAAAGCACCTGGTGGATTCGAATCATGAGGCTTTGAGATTGCAGTGTTGCTTCTTACCACTAGGCCACCAGAGCTCCCCTGTTAGATTATTACTACTTTTGTTTATTTATTTATTTTTTAAATTTAGGTTGTTTATTTTTCATTTCAATGAATATCTACAGAGATTTTGGGATTCCATTCATTCATTGTTGCAATAGATTATTTTTTTATTCACTCATTCGTTTCACAAATAATGAGTGCCTACTTGGTGCTAGGGACTGCTGTGACACTGAAATCATCAGTGAACAAAACAAGAGTCCCTGCCATCATGAAATTCCCACTTCAGTAAGGCATTCAGTGGAAATAATAATAATAATTGTAGTCGTCAGGCTGGAGACTAAGGTGTGCCTGATCCGGGCTATAGTCTTCGCAATTACGTGCTATGCATCAGAGAGTTGTACAGTGAATAGGGTTGATAGAGAATTGATGCCTTTGAGCTGTGGTGCTGGAGAAGAGTGTTGAATATACCATGGACTGCTAGGAGAACAAACAGGATTGTCCTGGAGAAGGTGAAGCCAGAATGCTTCTTGGAGTCAAGGATTCTGAAGCTTCGTCTGACATATTTTGGACATGTTGCAAGGAGGGACTGGTCCTTGGAGAGGGACATCATGTTTGGCAGAGTGGAGGGATGGCAAAGAAGAGGAAGACCTTCTATGAGATGGATCGGTTCTGTGACTGGAGCGGTGGAAATAAGTGCGTCTGAAATGGCTATGTTGGCACAGGATAGAACAGCGTTTAGAGCTCTTGTCCATAGGGTCCCTGTGAGTCGCAAATGACTCGATGGCACATAACAACAAACAACAAGTATATGCTCAGGGAGGGAGCTCCGCTGCCAACCCATAGGAATATGATTCAAATCCACCAGCTGCTCTGAGGAGAAAGATGGGCAATCAACTCCCTTGCTGTTTGCAGCCTCTGAAAACTTGCTAGAGGATTTTCAGCTGTGCGTTCCTGCTCGGTAGCACATAACAACAACATATGCTCAGGGAGCTCTAAAGGACTAGTGGGTAAGGAGTTACACTGCCAACCCAAAGGCACACAGTTCAAATCTCCCAACTGCTGCAAGGGAAGAAGGTGGGCATTTTACTCCGTTGTGATTTACAGTCTCTGAAAATGTGATGAAAGGTCAGCTACGGGTCAGTTCCAACTCCACAGCCCATAACAA